TTACCAAATGACAAACAATGAACAATTTACCAAATGACAAACAATGAACAATTTACCAAATGAAATTTTTCTCACTGAATATAAGGAATAATAATTAATATAATATTATAATAATATAATATAATTAATAATAGACCTGTTCTCAGTTTGTTTTACCTATCTCATCCTTTAGCTTAAGCAGAAGACACAAACCTCTGTCTCAATAATATTCCTCAAATCCTACTAGTGCACATTTTAAGAATTAATTATGAAACAGTCTACTTAAATGCTCATAGTCTAAAAATGTGTAATTGGCTGACTAAACTTTAAATGATGTTATATCCACAATATTCTACCTCGCTACCAACCTTTCTTACTTTKACAATTCGCCTGAATCTGCCTTTGTCTGCTTCTTTTATTACTTTTACCCAAAGTTCCTAACAAAAAGATCTTAGCTACTGCTGGTAATTATAAAAGAATAATTAAACTTTCCATTGCAATAAATAGGTATTGGGTTTGAAGAGTTATCAGTCATTGTATTCAACCTACAAGGGTAGTGTGCTGGTGTTAGTCTTCATGTGTGGCTGGATAATGTTATGTCCCTAGTGCAAATCTTAGACAGGATCCTATTCAAGATCCTACAGGSTCSTACAGGATCTTACAGGATTCTGCCTAAGATTTGCACTATGCGTCCTTTTTTTACAGGTGATTTCTCTTGGACTGAATTCTTTCACTAACTATTGCCTATTCTTGCATCACATTTGAATGTTTTCCTATCAAGTGCTATATACCCTGTGCTATATTTACCATATAATTATTGTTCCTATCAAAGTCTATATAATGATTATTAGTACCTTATCTTGGTCATAGTCTGACAGATTCTGCAACTGAGGCCTTGGTGTCATTCCTTGTGCTTCAAAGTTCAGGGATGGTGCATCYGTCAAGGTGTTTTCAAGTTCATCTCTGTTCCTAGAGGCTTCTAGCACCTGTTCATTAAATATCAATCTTTGTTAAAAAGCGATGGTCTGACCTATAAAATGATAGTCATTCACATTCTGTTCATCAACATGTTCTTTCAATCAATGAGACAGTGKAATTAAAGTTCAAGACTTTCATCTCTGACCAGTCAGTCCTTGAGTTTATCCAAAAAATCTTAAATTTATGACTGGCACTCACCTGCGACAAATGAAAACTTCCTTCCTGTGGCTGAGCAAATGAATTCTCTGTTACTCTAATAGCTTGCCTAATATTTTGTGTTGCTAACAAATAATGGGAACTGATTGCTGATGCTTCTGCTTGRTTATCAAACTGAAAAGAGTTCTGAAAATCCAAGATTACACATAAATAAACTGACTACAAAACATATTAATAGGTTATAATCAAGAATAAACTATAATTATAATTGCAATGACTACTAATTTTGATGGGTATGCAATTACAAAACAGATCAAACTACACATTTTACAGTTTCAGTCATACAATACTTCCCCTAGAGCTAACCGAGTAACTATTGGAGGCAAATGTAGATTAAAACCAAGAATAAAAATTTAGTAAGAAAAATCTGGTTAGTATGGATATTCACATCTATTATACTATACTACCTTGCCAGGTCTAATCATAGGAGTAGAMGTAGCCAGCACATCAAACTGATCSATGGAGTTACTACTGAATTTGCCAGAAAGATGCTGAGGGRAAGGAATGAGTGGAGGAGAGCCRTCAGTTGAGGCATGTCCTACAGGTGGGCCTCGRCCTTCAGAGATGTCAATCATGCTTGATGGATTGTTCTGTGAATGTTGGGTGACTACTGGCATGTACTGGTCACTACAACTTGATACTGAACTCCTTGATGAAGACCTTGTACTTGATACATTATCACTTGAACCTGTCAATCAACAAATCAAATGGTGTCATTGTTGGTATGGCAGTTACATAGTACCCTGGACTGTTTGCTACTTCTAATTTAACTAAATGTTTAGTGGTTTRACTCAATCAAGAATTGATCCATACATTTCTGAACGGAAACATAGGACTGGCACTAGTTTGTATACCTGGCACCCATAYACTTATTCTTCCTGGTATAACATACCTAATGGCTGGCCATCATCACTTTCATGTCCACTGCTACCATCACCACCACCACCTCCATCACCAGGAAGATCAGGTAACACGTCACCTCCTTCACCAGACTGCCGTAACTCTGCATAAAGAAACAAAGAACATCTATTTGATTGGATTTCCTGAGTCATACCGTAAACARYCAARACTAACCAATRGATTCTGAGCCTTCATTATCAGATGTTGCTCCATTAAGAGTGTACCCATCTTCAGGTTCTGAATTAGCACCTTCAAGTCCAGGTCTACCAACTGAGAGAGAAGATGCTCCATTGCTGCCGTCACCAGTGTCATGCACTAAACTTAAAGTATKATCATCATCATCATTGTTGTCATCATTGTCTTCCTGGTCATCCTTGTTGGTATCGCTTGGTCCAGAATCAGTTCCACTGCCAGAGCCTCTATAACTGGAAATTGTTAATACCAGTTAATAAAATTTCATGGAAACTTAGGTGGTTGAGCTATGGATAATTAACAAGCACTCCATATATATTGGATTTGCCTCAAACAGGAACAAACAAAAGGGACTTTGAAAATCCCAATAATCTCTAACTGTCATCTACAAGAAGACAAACTGATGCTTATAATAAGCACCTTACCTGTTAAAGAGGCTTTCTGGAAAAGTCTGTGACTGCAAGAAACTGATACTTGATGACATGGAAACTCTGTCAATCAACTCTCCTCCATCGCCGCTACTGGCACGAGTTGTTTGTAACATGTACTGTGCCAGCTCATCTACAGTCGTTCAAAATAAACTCAATTTTAATGGTTCATAATCTTTATACCTAATAAATTTGTTTGTCAAAAATAGGGAATAGCTAAGTTATTTGCTCCACTTTGAGGTATTTTGATATGTAGATCAAATACCCACACTTGTATGCAAATCTAACTCCTCAAAACTGTTGAGAATTATTGGATAAATTCAATGCAAAAGCTGGTCAATAATATATTTGACTGGTGTAACATTGACAGCTTCATTGGGGGTAAAACTAAAGTATTTTGACTCTCTTGAAAGCCAGAAACAATTTTTTTCCACCAGGTGACTGAAGCTTTCCCATGAACACTAAGGACATGCACGTACACTGGTGTATCTTACTGTATAAGTTTAAATAATCGCATAGAAATTACAATATCATAATGCAGGACAAAACAGAAGGAACAACATCCAGCGATGTACCTTTACTTTGGCTCAGTTGTGAGCGAGGAAAAGAAGATATGGCAGCTTCACTCTGTAAACTGTTCTGATTTGTTTTTGGTTGACCCAATGAGTTGCTCACAAGTCTTACTATAATAACATAAAACATAAATTATAATTCTTGATATGCTAATACTACAGGAGGAAATGGGGGTGGTGCCAATACTTAATGTAGTCTAATTGAAACTCCAGAATCAATGCCTGCATGGTTGCTTTCAATTTCATTATTGTACAATAAATGTCAAACATCAATAATAATACTTTAGTTTATAGCTATACATTGGTCATAGAAAACCCTGGTTGGTTTTACTGCCTAGAGGAATTTTATCTGACTCCCTCYCCCACCTTTTGTTTTGCTATCAGAAAGGAGCCTAAGGGTGCTTTCCATTTAGGCAGAACTGGCCGCCCAGTCCATTCTATTTAGAGGTATATTATGCTTTTTGTCAACATTTTCCGAGGTTTTCTATAGAATAATGGATAGAATTTGAAAATTTGAATTTCCCGACTAAATAGGAATAATATATTGACATTTTCTCTGGGTCTGGTTAGCCAGTTCTTACAAATGGAAAGCGCCCTAAGTTTTTACCTGTCTCTGTGGTTTCATCTTCCTGTAGATGACTCAGTGTAAGTGGTGAGTTATATTCTCCATCAAATGGCAATTTTTCCTCACTCTTTTCTTCGAGGTCTTCAGACTTTTCATGTGTTTGTAAAGTCAAAACATCTGAGCTGGACTGGTTAGTGTTAAAACTTGATGTTTCTGTGGAAAACATGAGGTATTACAGTATTTTGTATATTAAGGCACTGGTAAATTTCTTATGTATTGGTAATCCAACGCTTACAAGAATAGAGTGCAAGCTTCTAGCAGTTCATCAGATTGAAAAATGAAAGCTATTTATGGCTTTCTTTATGATTAAGCATTACATTGGGATCCCTGTCTTCAGCTAAAACAGGGACACCATGAGCTACAATCTTATTTATCAACAAATAAATTGCTGTTCTATAAAACCAAATAAACAAAACAATTTTGTACCTTGAGTTGAGTCTAAATTAAGTATTCCAAGAGAACTTTCATCTTGACAAGGACTGTCTATTTCGTGAGAGCCGATCGCCATTCCTGGAAAATAATTTAGATATATCCTAGCTAGCACTCTTAGATATTTTTCAAATACTTTCTCCAGGGTCAAAATGACATGCATTGTCCCATTTTATACAAGGATTAATACATTATGTTATGTTGAATCAAAATATTAGTATGATTTGCATGTATAATATTTGGCTTTTCTTTTTCACCAATTGGTTTTATATGACACAATTTTAATGACATGATGTAAAATTTCTTTCTAAGATTGTTCAATCAGAGCTGGTTATATTGCTTTATAACTTACCTAGCTGAGCTTTTGCACTTTCCAAGGCATTTAAAAACTCTCGAATATCCCCAGAAGGCAGACGATTTACTCCAAAGGAGAAACTAAACACAATTAGATTGGGCTGGTTAACACACTTCATTCAAATGCATTCCACTCATTTCAAAGCATTACAATATGATTACTGGTCGTACTGAATCACAGACAATAGCCCCACATTGCCCAAGGTGTCAAAGCTGAGACAAAGGCATGCAAATTGAGCAGTGTTTTATGCCAGTTTGATAGATTGTGACACAAAGAACAATAGCTAAAATATTATACTAGGGTTAACTTTCATAGAACTACCTGCTATTACTATTGACAAGGTTAAAACACAGAACACTTTACTTGAGATAAGTTGAAATAAAGTTCAAAAACATTACAACTTGAAAGAGGGCAATCTATTGCAATTTAGTGGTAATCATTGAGGAATAAAAAGAGAGGTGAAAAACAGCTACAGTACTGAAACCTTCAATAACAAAGTTTTAAATGACTTCAACAACATGTTGCTGGATTAGTAGGGGATTTCATACAGTAACTGTCTGTTTTTTAGATCGTTATTACAAAAACAAAGGCAGCAGCTATCAGCACTGCTCGGATATGCATCATTTATAAACCACGCGTGTTTCAATGATAAAATAAACAAATGAAACGGATCAAGGATCATGCACAAATGATAAACTGTTAAACCTTTGACAGCACCTAAAATGATTCAAAGTAGATTCGTTATAATTTGCATATTTTCCAACCTTTCGTCCTTTGGATCTTTGTTGCCGTTTTGTTGGGGTTCCATAGCTTGAGGAGTAACTGATTCTTCTTCTACTCCACTGTCGTGAKCTTCGTGGTCATTAAKAAAACTRTCATAMTCACTGCCGACTTCAAAATCTGAAAATGATTCTAACCCGCTAACATGCGAGGGTCCCACCACATCGCTGAAGGCAAGGGAAGTGTCAGATACGTTAAATTCCATTCTAAGTTTCCATGAGCTCCGAAGTATACTTAATATATGATAAGTGAAATGTAATCGACGACGAATATCGGTCTTCACAACTGGAAAAGACTAATCAAGTTCGGTTACCATCATGTCACCCAACTTTGACCTCTGTATTTTAGTCACTGATTTGAAAAAAACATATCAAAACCACGTTGGGTCTCGAAATGATACTTTAAAGTAGCTGTTAGCTTATTTTCTATCAGTTTGATGGACTTTTCGTAATAAACTCGCGGAATTTAACCGTATTTTGGTCCCGTCTGACAACAATCTCTTCATTTGAAGCGCCAATACCAAAACGAGGCTAGTTATACTTATTTTGACCGCTGCCTTAAAATTGCGTGGGCCCATGAGKCCGTAAAAAAGTACAGGGAACCCAAAGATAAATCCTGTCTTGTTGAGTTTTGTGCGATTTCTTAAGACTTCCTCGACTTCGTAGCATAATGTTTCTCGATGAGAAACGTCCTTCCTTGAGACTGCCTCATCCTAGAAAATAACCCAAATTATCTCGCAAATAGAACAAGAGAAGTTACTCGAAGACATCAGAATCGGAYTTGACAATATTTCAAATTATYTTAAGACTTTTAAATTTTCTGCATTTRAATATTACTTGAAAGGGCTTATCAATGCACTGCCCTAGTCCATTTCCCTTCTTGTTGATAGACCACGTCTTCCCAAGGGTACCCTAGGGAGTATTTGTGATTTGACGTGACGTCATTTGGAAGGAAATCGAGCGAGTTCATCCATGTTGTTTTTGCGAAGTACTTCACTATGAAAAACAAATTATTATACCTCTCTACGTGACGATCTCTGAAACGATGACTCTTGTATTTCTGGAACAGCTTCCGCTACCATCTCTAAAGACCTATGTAACTGTCAGCTTCCTTCTCGTCTTCTCGTCGCTTTTATACGCATTGAACAACGCTACGATATGGACGAAGCCAGACAACACAAACAACGGCAACGAGGCAAAATCAAACGTAACTTTGTACGATTTTATGACCCTGGATAATTTCTGTTTTTGGGTAAGATTAAACARCAACAATTTAATGGGACAACTGTGTAATTCTTCGTGAAATCGGTGTGTGTTTTGTCGTGTTTTTTCAAAGTTGTTTTCTTTTCAGTCCAACTTGAATATGGTATACTGTTGCTTGTTTATATTTGGGAAAGTCATACAGAGGATTGTTTTCGGGGACCTAAGAGAAGCAGAGCTCCAGGTAGGATAAAATAAATACAAATAGTYTATATCTAATGACTTCTTTGTGTAAAACCAGACATTTTGCGTTGTGAGAATGGAGTGTGAATAAAWACAGCTGTAATTATATTGAACGACAACTTATGTGACGCAACTTTTATTTCTTATCTCATAGAAAATCTCTTTGCATCACCTTGAGTAAAAAAAATACCTTATTATTACTAGAGCTTTTAGTTGTTTAATATTATTGTTTTATCTATAATTTCTTGAGAAGAAATGCATATGATTAAAAAAGAATTTCACTCTTACAAGGGAATAAACTGAAACTGAAATTGTGCAAAGAATCCTTGGCTATTGTACTTTTTTGAAACTTTTAGGCATTTTCCTAGTAATTTTCCTAGACTATTTAATACCAAAMATTTTACACTGGAAGGCTAACAAATTGTGTCATATTCCAGTATTTTTTGCTGACATATACCCCTTTCTAATATTCATATACATGTATTTCTTTCAGCAAATCCAAGACAGATTTTGGAACTTTGTCTTCTACAAGTTCATATTTATTTTTGGCGTGCTCAATGTTCAAAGAGTAGATGAGGTCATGTGGTGGACTGCATGGTTCACTTTACTTGGGTTTTTTCATCTCTTTACTCAGCTTTGCAAGAGCAGATTTGAATATGTAAGTATTTTGGTGTTAGATTTTAACATTGGGATGGATGTACATGTGTAACATCTCTTTTTATTCCTCCGACCTGTGACTGCCAAATTTTTGGTTCTGTCACCTTTATTTGCATTGTAATGGTARCTCAATACTTTGTTGCACAACATGTTACCTTAGCAACATGTTCGTCTTGGGAAATTTCAAATTGGAGATTGCCAAAAAACATGAATTTGGGATGTAAAGATGTAGATACACTGACTGTACATGAAAGTGATCTTGTTGGAAGCAGGCAATGAAATGATAAATATACATAATTATTTATTTGCACTTAATTTAAGGACCATYGAAGTATAGATTCTAAAATAGCATTTAAATTTTACAAAATTAATAAAGTTTTTCTTATTATCACACTGCAATAATTCATTTATCATTATTTAATGCTGAATGGCTTGGCTAAAAATCATGCAAATTTGCCAAAAGGAAATTTCAGACATTGTCTGTGTATTGTGTATTGATTATAATCCAGGTACCAATTGTCTTTACAACTGATTTAATTCATAGCTGTCCTTCTCTCCAACCACAACTTCTGCCACCCACAGCAAGATTATAGGCTTGTTGGTTGTCCTGTTAATGTGTTGTAATGGCCTGTTCTTCTTGTCGTTGTTTGTTGGATGGCCTGATGGAGTTCATACCTTCACCTTTATGGCAGCTGAAGTAAGTTTTATTCAATGTTGTCAAGTTGTGCAGGTGCTGTATRCACCTATTTCAAAAACRTTTGTCGTTGTCAGGACACAGTCAACAGTCTTGAGCCTGCAAAGAATCTCGGGATTGCCATATATAATTATTCAYTTTCAGTTGTTGAAAATTCTTAGTCTTGGAACGCGATTATACCTTCGAAGGTCATTGAAAACGTGGAGCATTTTTTGAGGAAAATGTCTCATGGTGAGACTTGTTCGTTGGGTTTAATACCAGCAATAGTATATTAGTAGTGTTTGCCAGTATTAAATTCAAACCACATAGGCAAATATATTTTGAATATGTTAATTACGCATGGAAATCCCGAGATTCTTTTGTCCTGGCAACGACAATGTTTTTAATATAGGTGTATATATTACACAATTCTATATTCATGCTCATTTCCAAAAGCAAAATTAATTGAGTAATTTGTCTCATTTCCAGTGCATATTATTGCTGATAAAGATTGTGCATGTTGGTATAAGGTAATTTTATTATGATATTAATAGATGTATAACCCAAGACTCCTATATAGACTCATTCTTAATATTCCTTATAAGTTGGGTGTTTCAACCCAAAAATTAGCCTGAATTGTGTTATGCAATGTAGTTTGAATTACATTAAGTTGTGTCTCAGTGAATTAAATAATGCTAAATCTGATAGATACGGTATCCATCTGTGGGATGTTGGTCATGTTGGTACTTGGGAAGGACGTACAACATGGTGCTACTACACAGATCTTCTGCTTGATATTGCCATGTATGCTATAGACCTTATTCATCACTTACATATGCTGGTAAGTCAATTATTGAGAAGAATCCAGTGGTTTCTTAGATAAAGCAATATCATTGATGGATGGTGTTTGCAAAGAGGATGATGGTGTTTGCAAAGAGGTCTATGAAGTTATACAAAAAATGTTATTTTACAACAGCTGTGGTCCAACATTTTCTTGAGTATGGCAAGTCTTGTTCTGTGTATGCAACTGCGGCACTTGTTTTATGAAATMAAAAAGAGGCTGGCAAGACACAGAAACTTTGTGCGAATACTACAGTGTATGGAGAAGAAGTTTCCTATGGCCACAAGTCAAGAGCTTTTAGCCAATAATGATGATTGTGCAATATGCTGGGATGCTATGGAGGTTGCCAGAAAATTACCCTGCGGACACCTCTTTCATAGGTATCAAATATGATCATATACTGCATGGTGATGACAAAATAATACATTATTTTTCACTTCTGATAAAAAGAGAGTTCTCACACATTTTCCATTRTCTCTGCATCAGCACTTGTCTTCGTTCCTGGCTGGAAAATGATACATCTTGTCCAACATGTCGTCAGTCATTGGCAGATGATCTCCATCCTGAAAATTCAGAACAAGATGAGGACAGACAGCCACAAGGAATGGCGGCATTCATGATGGGAAGGGGCATCAGAAGGTGTGCACATTGCAGTCAATAGCAAGCATTGTTGTTTTTATTTGTTGTGTTTTATGTTTGTTGTTTTTGTACCAGTTCATGTTGCAGTATTGATACCAGCATATTACTTTGTTTTCATTTCAATTGATGTTCATTGATATGTTGTTTTTTTGTTTCACAGAAATCACTTCTTTCACTTTGATGGTAAGTTAATCTTCTTTGACTTTCATGGTGTGTAAAAAGTTATTTTCATTGGTTTCTGTTTTGTTTTATCAAAGGATATCCACAGTATATTGTTTTTTTTTGTCACCAGGGAGTCAAATTGCCAGTTGGTTTCCAAGCTTTTCTGTTGAAGTGGTCCACACTCATACCAATGAGCATATTGACCAGCAACTACCAGAAAGCAGGCTTGAACTAATGGTGGGTGATAGTATCGGTCAATATCATGACAATGGTGATGATACTTTGATAATATTATTGGATAATATTTAGATGGGTGATGACTGATTGTGATGGCAATGATGGCGATGATGGCAATGAAGTCAGATGATGATTATGAATTGCTTATATAAAACAATGATTGTGAGGCAGTATCAAGATCAACTTCGATAATAAGTGACTTAGTTATTATCGATGGATAAGGTTGATAGATGCTGATGTTGATGATAGCTGAAGATAGGAACAATAATTATGTCAAGTTGGTATCGTGGTAGTGGCATCAAATGGTTTATGATAAAATGTAAGGTTCGATTAATGTGTTTTTACTTTGTTGATTCTATTTTTTTCTGCAGGCACACCAAGTACAAGACCTATTTCCACGTGTACCTTTTAACATAATCATGGATGACTTAAGACAAACTCATTCAGTCGAACTCACTACAGATAACTTCTTAGAAGGAAGGATTGCTGTTCCTTCGGTAAGTGTACTTAATATACATTGTCAGAAATTGTACAAAATGATGTTGCAATAGTTCTGCTGTCGTGAAAKACCTASCTTAGTGGCTGGTAGGAAAAAATAAATAAAATTGTTAAATTTTAAAMAAWTTCTTGTAGGTTTGGACGCCACCAGAGCAGCAAACACAACCAGACCCTGAGTTATTACCAAGAGCACCATCACCAGATCTCAATCGACAGAACAACCAACACGTTTTTGTAGAAGAAAACTCTCAAGAAGAACACTTCAGTGACAATGAATCAAGTGATGACAKATCACAGCCGTTTTGTTCTTGTGAAGTTGCTGCTCCAGTAGAAACACAAAGATCACAAGATGTGGAACCAACAAATGTTGAGCAGACAATTACGAGTGCTGCAAGCGAATCATCAGAATTTCACATTTCATCTGGAGAAAGAGAAAGTTCACTTCGAAGAAGAAAGGAGGCATTCCTACAGAATGCAAGAAAGTAAGATATTTAATTGCAATGCTGCAAGTTGGAATAACKTAAAACACATTGGTTGTCCTTAAATCTTGGCATCCGCAATCTTCCTCTCCTTCCATTCCACTTTTCTTTCMTTTGTCATCTTTTTGTTGTTTCATTTTTCTTTCCATTCCCTTCTCTATCCTTACCGTTTCTTCATTTTCAATTGTCGATCTTGCATTTTGCTTTTTGATTTTTGAATAACATCACAAAGAATTCTGCGACATCAATCATTGTGTATTTGTTTTTAGGAGATACCTCGTAAAGGAAAGTTCATCATTGTCATCATCTTCTGAGAATATAACAAGATGACTCCAGCCGAGCAGTGACAACTTTGATCTAAATCGAGGAACGATGGTTGAATCCAGTTAGCCAGTCATCCAGACGATTATTCAGATCCAGTCCACGTTGCTCCAAAAATCCATGAAGGAATATTAGTTGACAGACTGTAATTTAAATTCATTGACATAAATTGATGGTAATATTGTGGAACTGTGATTTAGGAAGAACTACAAGGTGGCGCGGGATTTGGTGGTGATAGCTGTTATCATTGATAGTGGTATGTTGATGGTAATTTTGTGGAACTGTGGTTTAGGAAGAACTACAAGGTGGCGCGGGATTTGGTGGTGATAGCTGTTATCATTGATAGTGGTATGTTGATGGTAATTTTGTGGAACTGTGGTTTAGGAAGAACTACAAGGTGGCGCGGGATTTGGTGGTGATAGCTGTTATCATTGATAGTGGTATG